GTTCTTACAGTTATTCGAGCTGCAAAACGAATAGATCAACAGTTCTAACACTGCCTATGTGAGCAAAAGTGCCGTACTCGTAATCCTGCAACGGTAACTGTAAGAGTGCGATTAGGTCCGGCCTCCTCATCCTGAAATAACCTGTGGCTTATGCCAAACGACCATGATAACGAATGAGATTCCCAAATGTTACAGTATGCAACAACGATCAACCCTTCGACTCATTCAAATAGCACGCACCACCGCCTCAGACAATGAGACGGGACGATACGCATCAGGGGTGGCTTGCTGTTTGTCCAATTAACATGAAAATCCCCATCCCGGCGTTGCAGAGTGAATATTGGCTCGTTAGTTCAAATAATTTGACTGCATATGAGAGCATAGCGCCTGCAGCGTTTCGTGGCCTAATTCTATCTCCAGTCTTGATGACGGTCTCTGCCGGAAGTGGAATATGGATATGACGTCTTGAGCACATGTCTTGTTGATTTAAAAGACATTATAAAAGGGGCAACCACACTGAACACAGACAAGCCTTTTTTATCGTAGGCTGAGAGGCAAATAGATACGTCTCTGATGTAATTATGAGCAATCCATCCACTCTCTAGAGGCTGCCCGTAACCTCCAAGTTCCTTAAACCTTATCCGGTTACGAACAGTAGTCATTTTTGCTGCTTTTCGATTTCCTCAGAAATTAACCACTAATTTGGAGTAAATCAGACTGAAGTTTGATTGATCCTACTGACAGCACAGATACTAACAAAAAGACCAGACAAGCGTATTAAGTCTATATTCCGCTGTTGCATGACAGAGAGGCGAGAGACTTGGCTCATTACTGGGCCCCCAGCATTCTCCGTGTGCTTTATGGTAGATACTGCAGTTTTTAAAGTTAAGAGTTTTAATTTTCTCCGAAAGTAATTGCAAACTTGGAGTAAGTCAGGCCGAACTAAGCTTTACAGGCGTATTTGTTTTACACTGGATTTCCTATCTCCTGGAATGTCAACCCAAATTCTGAATCGTGTTTTCGATTCGAAAAAATCACTGAGGTAAGGTTTTAATATCGATAATCGTACAACCTAATCCCAGAATATTTTAGTCACGTCAGGTTGCCGGCCTTTGGACGAGCTTCCTTTTGACCGTGTGAAAAATGTGTACTCTGTAAAAAAAATGGTGAATTAAGGAATACGTAGTTTCCTCAGCAATTGTCAATGCCTTATAAATTCAAATATATTTCATAGAAAAAATGCTCGCAAATATGTTGACTCCTACTCACTTGGTAGCAAATAACACCTTCAAAGTTTAGACTTGAAGAAAGTGTATCTTTCAGTTTAGAAATTTCTAAATTTTCTACTAATGTTGAACCTAACCAGCCGTTGCATTTGAATTCTAGGTTTCCAAACTACATACTATATACATTCTGAAAAATAACACATTCCCCTATAGTATGACGAAAAGGTCACTTAGTTCTTATGAAATTTTGTAATGGATGTTGATCATATTGTATACTCTATAGACAGTATTAATAAGTAAACGGATACCACGTGTCATCAATGAATATTTTACGCTCGTAAAATATCTCATCATTATAACCTTTTTTAATATTAAGAAAGCGCAATTTTCGTATATAATTTCTTTAAGAATATATTTGAATTTATAGGGACACAAAAAATAAATTAGAAAAATGCATACTACAAAAGTTGCCATTTTTACAGAGTATAAGTTTGCACGAGGTCAGAAAGAAGCTTGTTCAAAAGCCGGCATCCTGACGTGACTTAAATATCTTGAGATTCGGGCCACCCATTAAAGTGATTTGTTCGAATCAAAAACACATTTCAGAATTTCGGTCGACATTGAGATAGGAAACCTGAGCCGCTATAACTGAGAGCAGCTTAGTTCTGTTCTGGGGTTTACTGGGTCAAATGCAGTGCCGAAGGCGTATTGCCTGAATGACTGAATGCCGCCAACGCGATGGAGGGAGGATGACGCGGAAAATTCGCCCACGCGCGGTCGATCATGACATTTCACAGGCACGTTTAAGTACTCACATGGAGAGTACGTAGGGTTGGCCTGCCACGCAAGTAGTTTTTAGCAGTGGTCTGTATAGGCCTTAGTCAGCACTTCGCACTTCCGTTCTGGGTTGCATGAAACCGGTCCGAGGGAACGAGATGGGATTTTATGACCGTTTGTCGTCTGTGTGAAGACAGTTAATCAATCAAATGATCCACGCGCTTCATATGCCCAATGACCGTCTGCCAAGGCAAGCTCTGCCTACCCAAGTTGGAGAGTTGCATGAGGAAAAAGTGACAAAAGTAGCTTATGTAGGCCCACTCCTATACCCCTAGTCCCAGCATTTTGCCTGCAAAAATGGTGGTTATAGAGTTTTGGGGGTGGGGAAATGGGATAGGCAGAAGAGGAAATTTTAAAAGTGTAAAGTGAAAAAAAATGTAGTCGAAGTTGTTTCCCGCGGCCGCTGGGAGTGAGTTGTTCCGCAA